ATTGATAGTCTGTTAATACTGGTGACATTCTCAGCATAGATTACTTGATAATCTACAGTCACTACAGTTAGGAGCCTAGATGTGGGTGGGGGAAGGCAATAGCATCCAGTTCTGGGTTAGAAAAATGTCTAAAAATCCCTACCAGAAACCACCACCTTCATTTCCCCCAACCACCAAGAGGCTACCTTCCCAGTCTTCTAGCTTCCTGTTTTCTTTCATACAAACTCTTCTGCCCAGAGCCATAGATTGTCTTAGAATGTAAATCACAACCTGCTGGGTCCTGCACTTAGAACAAAATTCCAACTCCTCACCCAGGCCAAAGCGGCCCTCCTCATACTACTTGCTGGCCCACCTTCCCCAGCCAAACTCCTTCCTGGCTGTCCCCTCTGCACCCACTCCCCTCCTCTTTCCCACCACTCTTTACCTGGCTGACTCCTACTTGTCACTTCAGAGTCTTCCCTGACCCTCCCAAATGCTACTGGCTCTCATAACACGCTGGTATTTTGTGTTCTGCATTGCATTCATCACGTTCATCTCTTAATTTTACACTAAATCAGGACCATGACAGCAGGGACTGTTGCAATTTTGTTTACTCCAACCTCTAACAATTAGTAGGCCCACAATATAAGATTGCAATGACTGCTTGAGGTTTTTTTAGCTGCACTCCCTACCCCAGACTTTACACAAAAATAGAGTTTGTGGCTTTATAAACGAGGTACAATATATTTTGTGTCTAGTTTCCCTTAGAAAGGTGGTTGGGCACCTTGGTGGCTTAGCTGTACATTAGAATTAGCTGAAGTTTGCGTGTGGTTGTCTATTGCTGAACTACACACCTATTCTTTCACCATATTTATTCAACTTGTATGCTGAGCAAATAATCCGAGAAGCTGGGTTCTATGAAGAAAAATGTGGCATCAGGATTGGAGGAAGACTCATTAACAATCTGTGCTATGCAGATGATACAACCTTGCTTGCTGAAAGTGAAGAGAACTTAAAATATTTACTGATGAAGATCAAAGGGCACAGCCTTCAGTATGAATGACATCTCAATATAAAGAAAACAAAAATCCCCACCACTGGACCAATAAATAACATTCTTATCAATGGAGAAAAGTTTGAAGTTGTCAAGGACTTCATTCTTCTTGAATAAACTATCAACATTTACGGAAACAGCAGTCAAGAAATCAAATGGTGTATTGCATTAGACAAATCTGTTGCACAAGACCTTTTTAAAGTGTTGAAGAGCAAAGATATCAACTTGAGGACCAAGGTGTGCCAGACCCACACCATGGTATTTTCAATAACCTCTTATGCATGTGAAAGCTGGACAGTGAATAAGGAAGACTATAGAAGAATTGATGCTTTTGAGTTATGGTGTTGGAGGAGAATATCGAAAGTGCCATGGACTGCCAAAAGAACCAATAGATCTGTTTTCGAAGATGTGCAGCCAGAGTGCTCCTTGGAGGCCAAGATGGCCAAAATTGGTCTCTCATACTTCGGACATATTATCAGGAGGGACCAGTCATTGGAGAAGGATATCATGTTTGGTAAGGTGGAGCGTCAGAGAAAAAAAGTAAGATCCCCAATGAGATAGATTCGCCAAGTGGCAGCATTAATGGACTCAAGCATGGCAACAGTAGTGAAGTTGATCCAGGATCGGGCAGTGTTTTGTTCTGCTGTACAAAAGGTCACTATGAGTCAGTACCGACTTGATGACACCTAACAACAACAACATACACATATTCAGCAATGTCTACGGTACTGTTCACTAACAATGTTTGCATTTTTAACATGGTATTGCCACTCTATCTCTGCCAATGATGTTGAACCATCATTGACTGAGACTTCTTGCTCTAGAAAATTCTCATCTGTGTTTTAGTTACTGTGTCCCTTCTACTCTCATATAGACAATTCCTTATTGGGGCACAATGCTCAAAGCAGATGTTCTTTATTGAGCTAAACTCTTGTTTAGTTTAAAGATAACTTTATGGAATAGCTTCAGTTCAAGATTCAAAAGTCATTTCTAGGTAATAACTTCAAGGGTCCCTTCAATCTCAATGTGATGCAACCTTACTTGTATTGCATTGGACAAACATGAATTAGGTTGGGTTTTCAGTAAGAATTTGAAGCTCTGTTCTACAACTTTCCTCCTATTGATCAAGATCCATCTATTGGGTCCATGAGCAAAATGTTCAGTAATGGTAACCGGCTACCATCTATTTCTTCTGATCTCATGAAAAGGGAGATTTTCGAAAGTAACAAAGCTTGGACTCTGACCCAATCTTAAATCTCAATCTGTGAGGGTAAGCCCTGGGTGGTACAAATAGTTTATAGTTATTTCAGTATCTATCTGAAAGGTTAGAGAGTTGAACCTACCCATAGGCACCTAAGAAAGAAAGAAAGACCTGGTGATTCGCTTCCAAAAATGAAACCACTGAAAATCTATGGCCAAGAATTCTACTCTGACACACATGGGGTCACCAGTGTTTGGAATTGACACAATAGCAACTTGTAGTTGTATTCTTTTAAAGCTTTCTAGGCATTTCTGTGTGTCCAGGGCCAAAAACAATGATGGAAAAGAAAAGTATACTATTATTAAGCCAGGTGATTAAAAACCAGAGAGGAGCTCACCCAAGAAGAGTGGTTGTTGTTGTTGTGTGCTGTCGAGTCAGTTCTGACTCATAGAGACCCTGTATAGGCTTTCTGAACTCACTCAGTTCTGGTCACGAGGGAAGAAAGGATACTAGACTAGAATGGAAAGCATTTTCAAACTTTATTTACAACTGTCACAGTGACAAAAAGTAGTTTGGAAAAAAAAAAAAATGCTAGTTTCTCCCTGAGCCTCAAAAAAGAACAGATAGAAGTTACAGGAGGTTCATCTTACAACAGGCATCTTTACTGAAATACTAGGATTTTTTTTCAATACGATCAGGTAGAAATACACACAGATTACTTTAAAAACAACAACAACAACAATACCACAATGAGGAGTCACTTGTTCAGGAGCAGCTGGGTACCCCTAACAGGCTTAACCTCTGAGAGGTCTGACTTCAGCTGTTAGCCCCTGGCCTGCTCAGACTCCACATGGTCATACAAAGTGGTCTAGGGACCAGCAAAAAAATCATAAACCACCCCACCAACATACATATACACAAAGTAGGTCTGTTATGAAGTTTACAAGCACATTCCCATCACACGGCAAGACTGGGACAGATGAGATAAGGTAGCTGATGACAGGGAGACACCGAAACACAGGATTTGGAAAGGCAAGGCCCCATCACAAAGGGAGGCGAGGGCTGAGGAATGCTGCGAGGGACAGAGAGTAAGGACAAAAGGCTCTTTGCCACCACAACAGAATAAGAAGGAGGGCTAGGGAGAGGCCTGACTTCACAGGGCAGCGGTAGGCCTCTCCCACTTCAGCAAGGAGCTGAGAGAAGTTATTGCCATCGGTGTGTGTAATACAAGCAGACAACATAGAAGGAGGTGGCAGGGAGGCGAGAGGCTCCCCAGAACCAAATCCTGTGACAGATCAAAGCACACCCCAGACATCCCTGCACCAACGTTCTATAGAGCCACACTAGCCTTGAGGTATTAAATGCAACAATACACACTAGCCCAGCACTGGGGTTCAACCTGGCCTGTCTGAAGAATGAGGGGACATGGTGAGGACCCTGGCTGCCCAGTTTTACCAAGGATGGCTCTGCAGTCCACCTCAGTCCTGCTCTGAAATTGAGATGGTTTGAGGAGTCTGTCCTGCAAGGACCACTAGAGTGCTCCATCCCCTACATCCAGGAACAACTTGGGGAGAAGTCGAGTACCTCATAACACTAATTTCCAACATGATCCCAAGGCTGCTGTAAGACCTTGTCATACTTTTCAATAACTGCCAGACTTTGCCAGCTCCAGGAGCCAGCATTAAACCTTCCCCACTAACAAGAGACATAAAGATGCAACCCATTCCAATTCCCAAGACAATCACAAGCCAAGAACACACTCAGAATGGTCAGGAATGGGAAGCAGGGTTGGGGAATGCATGGTAAGAAGGAAGGGCAAGTGTGAGAGATCTGTTCCACCCACTGGATGCCTCCATTCAGACTCTCAAAATAATAGTCCTGTGGGGAGGGGCAGTAGAAGGAGGAACCTTTGCACCCAAGTGTCCAGCCCAGGGCTTCCAATGAGGGCAGGATCTATTCCTGCCACTCCCAAGAGGACTGAGAAATACCAGCGGGTAACTGAGGGGTGAAAGCTCCAGGGTTCTGCCTCCCAACCTTTAGGTTACCGCGGGAACCAGAGAGAAAGGATGAAGAAGGAACCGGGTACTCCTTGCCTGCCCACCCATCACCTCCAGCAAGTCTGCAAGTAGCCAGCTATTCCTGGCTCCTTCCTTCCTCCCACAACAGGCAGACAGACAGACACATCTGAAGTCAAAGCAAAGGGTGCCGGGAGGGGAGGGAGGAGGGTGAAACTAAGAGATGAAGACTTTGTTTTCTGGTGCCCCAGCAACCAGAGTGAATGCTTGTGGATTAATTCCTGGCTGCAGCTTTCAGCTCAATGTGTTCTTAAAGCCTGCATTTTTCTTTCTTTCTTTTTGTGTTTGCTTTCTTACCTCGGTGTTCCTTGCTGGCTTTGCACACCCCCACCCTCTCCCAGGCTCACTGGAATCCCACCACTGCCTCTCCTCTTCTGCCTGCTTGAGCTCAGATAGAGATCTTCAAAACAGAACCCGCCTGGCCACACCCACCCACCCCTTCTTGAAGCAGCTTCCTTTCTCAGAAGGCCTTGCAAAGTGTCACAGAGGGGCTCCACTGCTCCGCAAATTTCAAAAGAAGAAAAGAAAAGAAAAGAAAACCAACTCAGTGATTTGCAGGTGCAAAACGGAAGCCATCAGTTGACATTTTCAGAACTACTGTGGCTCACGCTCTTCTTCCACCACGATGGGAAAAAAAACAGTTCAGGTCCAGATGCTGTCTGGTGTCACCCCAGGGGAGTCTAAAGCGACTCTACTGCTCCTTGGTTTCTTTCGTTTTCTCTTCACAGTTTTCTTGCTCATCTTCCTGGACCAGAAACTCCTCGGGGGGCCACCGGAGCTCCCCACTCTCCACCTCCCCCTCCGTAGGCTCCACCACTATGGAGGGCAGGCGGTCCTTCAGTTTGCAGCAACGGTCAAAGTCCGATGGGTCAGGGAAGATCTGGAATGAAAGCACAAAGAGCCCCGGTCAACTGGATAGTTGGGAGGGAAAAAAAGTCAGCTCCTACTTATGAGGATTCCATGTGTGTCAGGGTAGAACTGCTCCATAGTGTTTCCAATGGCTGATTTATTTCAGAAGTAGATCGCCAGGTCTTTCTTTCAACACTCCTCTGGGTGACTCAAACTACCAACCTTTCAGTCAGTGGTTGAGCAAATTAACTGTGTGCAGCACCAGATGACTTACACATTGGAAAGAGAAATCCGTCCGTATGTTTCACATACCTGAGGAGTACTGAGTACCCAACATTTGTCAGAAACTGTGCTCAGCACTCAGGATCCTGTGGGAAATGAAGCTGCAGCTGTCTGTCTAAAGTCCACGGGAGCAAATTCAGAACCAGATTTTATTCTAATTAGGAAGCTAAAAGTGTGTGCAACTTTGTTTTTACTCTTTTTGCTTTATTTTCAGATAAAAGAATTTAAAACCATGTCATATCTATTTGCAGCAAGCATTTTACTTCAATGGTCCAAAGGATACAACAGGCACCAAAATATTAAATTCCTCCCAGAATAACCACTGGTCCCTAATATGAGCAAGGTGGCCTGAGGTGGCATTGCAGGATCATGTACTAGACCCCAAGGTCAGTCTGAACCTCAAGATCAGAGGTTTAAGCCCACTAGTCACTACTCAGAAACCTTATACAGGTTCTGCACATATAATTTTGAACGAAGGCAGATATGCTGAAAAATAGATATTGCCAATGCGATCCTAATAAATCGCCAAGTTGGAGAAATAAGTTGTCCAAGAGCTCTGGCAGCGTAGTGGTTACGAATCGGGCTGTGAACCTCAAGGTTAGCAGTTCGAAACTACCAACTGTTCCGTGGGAGAAGGATGAGGCTTTCTGCTCCTGTAAAGATTTACAGCCTCAGAAAGCCTGTACAGGGTCACTATGAGTCAGAACCAACTCCACGGCACATAACAAGAACAACAACATATAACCTGGAAATGACTAATGGTGGAATAAGAGTCAAACTCAGGTCTGTGGGATTCCTCCATGAGGCCCCTCAAGTAGTCCAGATCTCAGCGTAACTCTATGTATGGCCCCAGTCTCAGGCAAATTGGGAAAGAAACCCAAGGCTGTTTTTTCACCGACGACCAACCCCTAACTTGCTGACCACTCTACACCTGAGTCTATTTCTCTTTCCAGAGTCCCATCAATGAAGTTTCATTTTTTATGCCTACTGTGTGCCTTGCCCAGAGCTGACAGAAGCCCCAACCCCAGGCTATAAAATCAAGGGCCAGGTCTAGCTCTGTGCATTCCCTTTGAACACACTATGCTGTGACTTGCTGTGACTAGAGCTGACCCAATTCTTCACTCAGCTTACGTACTTAATCCAATGGGCTGCTGGTCCTTTGCCATTCACAGTACTAGGTAACACACTCATGAGCTGGAATAGAGCCTCACAAATATCAAGAGCCATGTGGCACCTTGGGCCATTCACCTTCAAGGCCTTCTCTTCCAACCTCTGCATTTGATAGATGAAGAAATCAAAGACCCAAGTGACTTGTTCATCAGAAAAGTCAGAAAAGCAATAACTAGAGTGGGTAGAGATAAACATTCATAGACATTGGGAACTGCCAACTACTGACCTGGATCTAGTCAGGCACAGGGCAGCAGACAGGAGTCTTCTGTTGCCAAGAGGCAGAAGAAATGCTTTCCTGTGAACTCAGGCCTTCCCAACCCCCAGTACTGCCCAAGCCAAGTCATGCTCTAACCACGTCACAACCACATGGGACTTCTGGGAATCATGGACCTCAATGAAGCCTCCACAGTCCCTCCACACAAGTGATTATTAACCATTTATCCAATAAAGACCTTTAGCTGGGGATTAAACCTTAAGCCATCTGCACAAACAGGTATCATTAAAGACTTAACAAGCCTCATGAAAAGAGCTGTAATGGCAGCCAGGAGGAAAACAAAACAGAGGAGCTAGAATAGAGTAGGTCAAAAGAGGCGTGGGAAGTTGACCCCAACTCCAGGCTTTGGGAGGAGTGACAACACTTGGAGCACTCTTCAAGACCTTGTCAACCTTGAAAAATCTTCCCTCTGTTGGTACTGTGAACACAGACTTGTGTGTGCCAAGTGGGGGAGAGGGTCAGGTGGCTTATTCTGACACGTCCTCATGGCTTCTCAGGTGCAGCTTGGAGTCTCATCGCCACCACCCAAGTACATGCCTAGCAGGAGCTCTGGGAAGAGTCCAGTGGAACCCGAATGAGTGGAAATATGCTGCCATGTACAAAGGCCTTTCAGACAGCTCCTCGTCTTAGACTCTGGCCTCTGAAGAGCAGTGAGACCCTGAAACTTTGAGGAACACAGGACACAGCCAGGATTTAAACCTGGAACTAGTGTTCCCAGTACCCGTGCCTTGTGAAAAGTGAACTAGAATGCCACTGTATCAACAACCCATTTCACAGATGGAAAGCTGGCCAGGGTAGGCAAGCCTTGACTACCCATTCATCTGCTGCAGGCCCCAAGTCCATGATGACCATTGGGGTAGTTGGGTCCAGAAGATGAGCTTCCTAGTCTGGACAGTTGTTGTAAACCTTTAGGATCTGAGACAGAGCTGTGAAATATTGAGAGGGATGGACACCTGGCCTAACTCAGACCTGGACCCTATGCCTCAACTTTCTGATCTCATTAAGTCAAGCCCAGGACTGGGTGTCTCCTGAGACATGACCATGGCTCCCCAGGTGGAAGAGGTGGCCACTAGGATTTAATTATGATCACCCAGGCCAACGGAACAAAGGGGACAAGAAGCAGGGCAAGAAGAAGAACGTGGAGAGTGTCTGATTTAGTCTGAGGTTGGAAATAGGCCTATGACTAAAATTAGAGGGGAAATTAACATAATGATGATGTTGATGGATGATATGCCAGGGACATTTGTTAAGCAGAACGTTAATTCATCTTCACCATAATCCTATGAAGTAGTTTTACAGTGCAGTCGTCCCTAACTATCCTTGGGAGATTGGTTCCAGAATGCCGAAAAGAACAAAACCTGCAGCCGCTCAAGTTCGGTATATAAAATGGCTTAGTCTTTCCAGTACAGTTTTAAACATCCCTAGGTTGTGTATGATACCTAATATAATGTAAATGCTCTGTAAATAGCATTTTGTCCTTCCTCTTAGCCTTTAAGGGATCGCTCAAACCACTTAATTGTTTTTTTAGGAGCCATTTTTTCCACAGAAACAAAAGGGGGCACACAGCACAAGTATTAAAGGAACGAGGCTTGAGGTGAACGGTGCTCAGACACGAAGCGCTGGAGAGAGACTGGAGCTCTATAAATCGGTGGGAAGCTACAGCAGATTATACCTGCACCTCACTCCCTTGGTGTACACTCAGTGTAGTACTCGACACGGCAAATTCAAATTTTGTCTTTTGGAGCTTTCTGGAATTTTTTTTCCCCAAATAATTTCGATCCACACTTGTTGGTTGAATCTGCAGATGTAGAATCACAGATACAGAAGGTCGACTGAATTATCCCTGTTTGTAGATGAAGGAGCTCTGGTAGCGTAGTGGTTATGAATCAGACTGCGAACCTTAACTTCGCAGTTCGAAACTACTAGCCACTTCGCAGGAGAAAGATGAGGCTTTCTACTCCCATCAAGATTTACAGCCTTGGAAACCCTGTACAGGGTCGCTATGGGTCGGAATCAACTTGATGGCACTTAACAACAACAACATAGATGAAGAAACAGAAGCACAGAGGACGAGTGGCTCGCTCAAGGCCACAAAGCTAGAAAGTGGCAGCACTGGGATCCAAACACAGGCCTGTAGGAATTCAAATGAGGCGTTCCCTTCATAACACATCGAGCCAAGCCCAAGAACCCAGATTCTAATTATGTCTTTGATACCACTTGTATAACCCCAATCAGGTCCTCTCAAATCACCCCACACCCCGTACCTCAGTTTCTCCTTTTGAGAAGTAAACCCTGATCCCACTAGATGGCTACAACTCTTGGCAAATAAGATGGTAAAGTACTTTGATGACATTGCTAATTTCAACTTGTAAGGCCTCCTTTGGAGTAGTTTCAATAGGGCAACAATAAATATTCAGTCTCCAAGCAAGAAGCAATAATACTAACACAGTAATTAAAATAACTTCAAGCAATGCCTTTCATACCAGAAGCTGCACAATTAAGTCTTTCAAGTCCTTGGGGAAGTCTGGGCAGTGAACTTCTGATACCTCTTAGTTGCCAGAGAACTTTGCTCCCTTGAATTGCTCAAAGCAGACACCGTTTCAAAAAAAAAAAAAAAATACAAAGCCTATGAATTGTCTTTTTTAAAATCACTATTATAATTCATCTAACCCTTCATCAGCAATTTTATGTTATTATCAGATTATACCAATTTATGCCTCTGAAACCTGCAGCTCTCTCAAAAAAAAAAAAAAAACACACACAGAAAAAAGCACCCAGAACCAAACTGTGTCTCACTTCCTTCTAAACAGACAGAAAGCCTTACAAAGTGCTGTTGAATATTTTGCCAGCACAATCTTATCTCCAACAGCTGCTTAAGAGGCTGACCCCAAGGAGGTCAAGATTTTTCCACTAAGTCATGCTTTTTAATCATCTAGGCAGCAGAAAAATGAGAGGTTGCAAACTGCAATTTGACGGGGTAGGGAAGGCAGTGGAAAAAAGGACTTGGGTTGGACTTGCCAAGCACATGACAGGTAGAGTTGCAGTAGCAGGCCAGCCTGGCATACTGTTTGTCCGCAGAAGCTGGCAAAGAATAAAAAGCTGCCCCTGTTCCAAAAAGAGACTGCTTCTGGTTAAACCTCTTACCCCAGTATGCCCCTTCTCTCTGGACTGAAGACAGGCAAAAGTCCTGCTCCTTTCCCTTTGCAATAAAGGACTGGGAAGGAAGATGGAGAAGCTCTGAGAGGCAGTCCCTACCTTTACCCCCAGGGATGGGCATATCTAGAAGTATTCCTCTGCAGCTGGGA